GTCACGCTGCCTTGTGTGTTGCTTGTGGTTTTACTTCCTCCCTTTGTCTGCGTCTCCCTCCTCTTTTGATTGCCTTCATTAGTTGCACCTGTGTCTCTTCTCCTCGGTCAGTTCGGCGTAGAAACCCTCACGTCTTTGCCAGTTTGTCCTGTTTAGTCATGATGTGTCCTTCCGTGTCGAGGCTTCGAAGCGTGTGGCCAGTAATTTAGGATAATTTTTGTGAAGCACGTATCGAGGCCGTGTGTGGTGACGCTTGAGAACCGGCCGTACCACGTGACCGGTTCAGGAAGTGTTCGCTGGAGAAGGTGTGTAATCTCCCCTCACATTTTGTGGATTTGGGACCTTATCGTGTCAACCTGTTGCCTTCTTGTCATGGAGCCAGCCAGAAAGAGGAGATGTTCTCCTGTCTGGGAGCATTTTGAGCTGATCTCTCCTCATAAGGGAGGCACAGAATAATAATAACAGTGTGATATATATTAAATGTTATAAATAAATGTGCTATCGCATTGCATAACCCTTGAACAAATATCCATCTTCCATCTTCTGTCATTTTAAAAGGTGAAGTGTTTGTGTTCCAAAGGAGGAGACAAGAGTCAAGAAATCAGAAGAGAAGACTAATGTGGATGTTAAAGCTTTGGACCCTGTGTTCTCCCCACAAGGCTGCTATGTGTGTGAGCACATTTTCCAATATTTGCCAAGAATGTTCTCTCTTCCAGACTTTGAAAGCTCCGGTGGAGGACGGATACCAGAAGTCCACGGAGAAGGCCGAAGCCTCTGTGTCCAGGCAACACTGGATATGTGGACCTCAATAAACACGGACCCCTATCTGGCTGTGACGCGCCATTTTATAGATGCAAGCACCTCTTTACAATCTGTTGTTTTAGGGTTTCTGCATTTCCCTCAGTCACACACGGCTGAAAATCTGGCTCGAGTGTACCTGGTATACCTCAAACTTACTGGCCTTGTGACTGACGGAGCAGCAAACGTGGGTGCTTGTTACTTTGCGTGGCACATTGTCTGAATTTAATTGTGAAAAAGGCTCTTGAATCAAACTGTGTTGTGTGATATCTGGGAACAATCTTGGAGAATTGTGGGTTATTTCAGGAGCAGCACCACTGCGAAGGTGAGTTCTGTATCTCACAAGAGGTGGATACCTGCTGGAACAACACCTACCGTATGCTGCAGCACATTTCTGACCTGAGGGAGCCTGTCGGAGCTGCTTTGGCTGGTTTACGCGCTGACATTGTGCCACTTTCATCAGAAAGTTATGTAATAATCCCAGACTGTCAAGTTTTGCCACCATTTCATGATGCCACAGTGGAGCAGTCTGAGGAAAAAAAGGTCTCAGGATCCAAAGTTATTCCCCTGCTGGCTGTGCTCCACCGAGCACTGGAGGAGGAGGAGGAGGAGGAGGAGGAGGTGGATGTTGGAATCCTACACACTCTGAGCTCTTCATCGTCCAATCAAAGGATGCATTTATTCATCTTTTTAATATTGTTTCAGTGTGGAACAGGTGCACAAAGCTGCGCGTTGTACCACATATAACTGTATTTGTGACCAAGAAAGGCCTTGAATCCTTGAGTATATCTGTTGGATCTTGGAAACACATTTTGATTTACTTCAAACATGTGTTAGCACAACGAAGCTGAGCTCCAATCCTCCTGATTCTGAGCTGCTGCTGCCACAGCTCTGCTCCATCTCCTCGTACATCACGGCATCGCTTTCATACAGCTCACTGTTAGACGCCGTGTTGCACCAGAGTGAAGCAGGATTTATGTGATCTCCAAATAAAGAGACGCTGTGGGCAACTTACACACATTTATTCTGACGTCTACGTTTATAACCGTGTGGCCTCGTTGAGCTCAACAGTTTCCTGCACAGACTCACAGTTGATGAAACCATCGGGTTGAGCTCAGGATGAAAATGAAACTATTTGAGTTGTGAATGTTTTTTTTCCCACAAATATTGTTTTCTTTGGACGTTTTCTTTTCAGTGTTGCTTTCATGCAGTAATACGTCGCTGCAACTAATGTAGTTAGTAAAGTTATCCCATGAAAGCATTTTCATTTATTATCCTGGGTGTATAAATGACTGTAGATGGTTTAGCTGGATTAATGCAAAGATGTCTGTCTCTTTGAGTGGCAGGAATGTTTCCTAAACCATAAATTAAATGCAGATACTATAAATAATGTCAAACATGGTGCATCTGTGACGCTGTGCTGCAGGTTTCTTTCACAGTTCTTCAACATGTCCACATTACTAAAAAAAAATAAAAAATGCAGGAAGTAAACAAACAAAACAAAAATGAGAATGCTCTGACTTCCCACAAGTAGAATCTGGTTATTTACATGTTGAGGTTTGATTTGAATTTGAATCTCACAATTTCAAAATGAAAATGAGTTTGCCTTAAAAACTAACAGAAAATTCAGCTGCAGCACATTTTTTCCATGAACAGCTGTTGTTACTCTGGACAACACGCAGAACACACTGAGGGCACTTTTAACTGAGCTCCCGTCCTCAGATGTCTTCGTCCCCTTCTATTAAAGAAAAGGCAAAACTCACAACAGTCCCTCAAATAACTAGAAACTGAAAAAAAGTAATAATAAATAAAAATTTGCTAAATTATAATTTAGTGAAATAAGACGTTGATTTTGAATTGTGGGTGAAAAGAATAATTTTAAAAATATAAACAGTCCCGGACAAATGAGAGGCCTTTGCTGATGAGCAGTGGTCCAGAA